ATTTAATTGGTATTTTATTTTATTTTAAAGATTTCATTTATTTATTTGACAGAGAGAATGTGCATGCCCAAGCAAGGGGAGCAGCAGGCAGTGAGAGAGAGGGAAGAAGGCTCCCCAGTCAGCAGCCTCGATCCCAGGATCTTGGGATCATGACCCGAGCTAAAGGTAGATGCTTAACCTGCTGAGCCATGCTTAACCTACTGAGCCCCTTAACTGATATTTTAAAAACACTATGTCCAACAGCACTAGAAAACACATTCTTTTAAAATATGTATAGAACACTCACCAAAATAGACATGTCTTATATCATAAAGCAAAGCTTAACAAATTTAAGATGTAATCACAAAAAATGAAACTAAAATTTGGCAACAATGGAATAAAATTAGAAATTAATAACAGAAAGATAACTGAAAAATCTACAAGCACTTGGAATTTAAACAATACACTCCTGAATAAACCATGAGTGAAAGAGGAAGTCTCTAAAGGAAATTAGAAAATACTTTGAATTGAATGAAATGAAAATACAACCTAACAAAATTTGTGGGAGGCAGCTAAAGCACTGCTTATGGAGAAATTTGTCCTAGAAGAAATCATTATCTTAGAAGACAAGAAAGATCTCCCATTAATAATCTCAGCTTCACCTTAAGTCACTAGAAAAAGAAGAGCAAAATAAACCCAAATCAAGCAGAAGAAAGAGAATAATACCTCTAAGGGCAGAAAGAAACAAAACTGAAAACATAAAAGCAGTAGAGAAAACTAATGAAACCAAAATCTGGTTCTTTGAAAAGAGCAAGAAAACTGATAAATTTCTGATAAGACCAACAAAGAAGACACAAAAAATAAATTATCAATATTAAAATGAAAGAGAAAATATCATGATATGTATGTATATGTGTGTGTGTGTGTAAGTCTAACAAAATATGTAAGTTATCTATATGCTGAAAACTTAAAAATGCTGATGAAAGGAAGAGACATACCTTGATCATGGATTAGAAAGCTCAACATAGTAAATATGCAAATGCTTCCTAAATTGATCTATGTATTTAACATAATGCCAATCAAAATCCCAGCAGGATTTTCTATGGTAGATATAGACAAGCTAATTCTAAAATTTTTAAGAAAAGGCAAAGGAACTAGTTTAGCTAAAATGATTTTGAAAAAGAAGAATAAAGTTAGAGGCATTATACTATGCAATTTCAAATCTTATGATAAAGCTACAGTAAGCAAGACAAACATTTATAGGTAAAGAGCTAAACAAATAGATCCATGGAACTAAACAGATAATGCAGAAATAGGTCCACAAAATATGGCCAATTGATATTTGACAAAGGAGCATATACAATTCAATGGAGAAAGAATAGTCTTCTCAACAAATGTGTATTGGATTAATTGAAGGTGTGTGTCTGTGTGTGTGTGTGTATGTATGTGTATATGATCTCAACCTAAACATCACACTTGATAAAATCATTACTTCAAAATACATCATTTATCTAGATATGAAACATAAACTATAAAACTTTTAGAAGAAAGTATAGAAAAATACCTTTAGGATCCAGGGCCAGGAGAAGAATTCTTAGACATGACACTAAAACCATGATCCAGTTTTTTTCCATTGCTAAATTGGATTTCATTCAAATTAAAATCTTTTGTACTGTAAATTTTACTGTTAGAGGGTAAGACACAATAGACTAGGAAGAAATATTTGTAAACTCCATATACAACAAGGATTTGTATTCAGAATATGTATAAAATTCTCAAAACTTAACAACAGGAAAACAACCCAATTAAAAAATGGGCACAAGACTTGAATAGACACTACAAATGTAGTTTCTTCCTTACTGTAATAAGCAATGAACTCAGTTTTTCTTTATCAACAGGTTATTTGGGGGGTAATTTTGGGAAGCCAGCATTTGATAATACCATCTCAGTGGTACTTCTATTAATAGTTTAGCAAATATTAGAATATTTCCTAAAGTTTAACTCCTCAACTAATTTTATCTGACTTTAGTTTAAATTAAATTAACTCAGGATTATTTATTTAGTTTACAGTTTTAAAAACAGTCATTTAATCTAATATTTTCCTACATGTTAGTACTGAGTAGAAATGCATTTAAGTAAGTCTGCTATTTAAAAAATAAAACAAGGCAACCTACTGAATGGGAGAAGATATTTACAAATAATATATATCTGAAAAGGTTAATATCCTAAATATATAAAGAATTTATACAATTCAACACCAAAAAAACCCCAAACTAATTAAAAATGGGCAGATAACCTGAACAGACCTTTTTCCAAAGAAGCCATACAGATAGAGGCGACTGGGTGGCTCAGTTAAGTGTCTGCCTTCAACTCAGGTCCTGGATCAAGCCCCATGTCAGGCTCTCTTCTCAGCAGGGAGTCTGCTTCTCCCTCTCCCTCTGTGTGTGAGCTCTCAATCTCTCTCAAATAAATAAATAAATAGCAATACAGATGGCCAACAGATAACATGAAAAGATGTTCAACATGAGTCATCATCAGGGAAATGCAAATCAAACCATAATGAAATAGCACTTCACACTGGTCAGAATGGCCAAAATAAAAAACACAAGAAATAACAAGTGTTGGCAAGGATGTAGAGAAAAAAGAACCCTTGTGTGCTCTTGGTGGGAATGTAAATTGGTGCATCCACTATGGAAAACAGTATGGAGGTTCCTCAAAAAATTAAAAATATAATTACCATATGATCCAGTAATTCCACACTGGATATTTACCCAGAAAAAACAAAACACTAATTGGAAAATATATATGCACCCCTATGTTTTTGTAGCATTATTTACAATAACCAAATTATGGAAGCAGTCCAAGAGTCCATCAATAGATGAATGGATAGGGAAGATGTGATATATATACACAATGGAATATTATTCAGCCATAAAAAGAATGAAATCTTAACATTTGCAACAACATGGCTGGAACTAGAGAGTATAATGCTAAGTGAAAAAAAATCAGAGAAAGACAAACACCACATGATTTCATTCATGTGCAATTTAAGAAACAAAACAAATGAGCAAAGGAAAAAAAGAGACAAACCAAGAAATAGACTCTTTGCGGGGAGGGTCAGAGGGAAAAGGAGAGAGAGAATCTTTCTTTTTTTTTTGTATTTAACCCTTATTTATTTACTTTTATTAATTTTATTTTATTATGTTAGTCACCATACATTACATCATTAGTTTTTGATGTAGTGTTCCATGACTCATTGTTTGCGTATAACACCCAGTGTTCCATGCAATATGTACCCTCCTGAATACCCATCACCAGGCTAACCTATCCCCCCACCCCTTCCCCTCTAGAACCCTCAGTTTGTTTCTCAGAGTCCATAGTCGGAGAGAGAGAATCTTAAGCAGCCTCCATGTCCAGCATGGAGCCCGACCTCACAACCTTGAGATCATGACCTGAGCTGAAATCAAGAGACACTTAACTGACTGAGCCACCCAGGCGCCCCAAGAAATAGATTTAACTATAGAAAACAAACTGGAGGTTACCAAAGGGAGGTAGTGGGGGGATGGGTGAAATAGGTGAGGGGAATTAAGGGCACGCTTATCATGATGAGCACTGAATAATGTATAGAATTGTTGAATCACTACATTGTGCCCCTGAAACTAATCCAACTCTGTATGTTAACTATACTGGAATAAAAATTATGTTAACTATACTGGAAAAAAAGACATCTGGGTGGCTCAGTCAGTTAAGTATCTGACTCTTGATTTGGGCTCCGGTCATGATCTCAGGGTCATGAGATCCAACCCTACATCTAGCTCTGTGCTCAGTGCAGAGTCTGCTTGAGATTCTGTCTCTTCCTCTCCCTCTGCCCCTCCCCTCTGGGTGCTTGCTCACGCAAGCGCGCACACACACTCTCACTCTCTCTCTCTCTCAAATAAATAAATCTTTAAAAAAAATTGAGTATATAAATTTGGGAGGCATTTTTATGAATTTTCTATGTATACAGTATGTAAAATAATTCTCATCATAATAATTTCAGATGTTTTCTTCTTTTTTTATTATGTTAATCACCATACAGTACATCATTAGTTTTTGATGTAGTGTTCCATGATTCATTGTTTCTGTATAACACCCAGTGCTCCATGCAGTACGTGCCCTCTTTAATACCCATCACTGGGCTAACGCATCCCCCCATCCCCTCCCCTCTAGAACCCTCAGTTTGTTTCTCAGAGTCCATAGTCTCTCATGGTTCGTCTCCCCCTCCGATTTCTCCCACTTCATTTTTCCCTTCCTACTATCTTCTTCTTTTTTTTTTTTTAACATATAATGTATTATTTGTTTCAGAGGTACAGGTCTGTGATTCAACAGTCTTACACAATTTACAGCACTCACCATAGCACATACCCTCCCCAATGTCTCTCACCCAGCCACCCCATCTCTCCCACCCCCCACCACTCCAGCAACCCTTAGTTTGTTTCCTGAGATGTTTGCTTCTAATAGGAATGGTGTCACAGGTCATCTTTCTTATTTTTATTTTTAATGAGATTAACCAAATCTTTTTCCATAAAGTATAATATTGTTTTTTTGTTTTAATTATATGGTTTTTTTTTTACTTAAGAAATTAAGGAGGATGTAACTCTGTAGGAATTAATGACTATGGAAAGAGAAAGAATAATGTACTCTGAGAGAAATGGATAGAAAAATATGAAAAAATTTCATCTATGTTATTGAAATAAAAGGAAGGGAGCAGAAAATTATAGTTGGTACAACAGTAGCCTGATTTTCTAACACAGAGTTCAGGAAAATAACATGCTTTAACTAAAACCTTTTTGTATCTCAACCTGTGTTTTATTATTCTTATGAAGAAAAAGCTAAGAAACAAAGTTTTATTTAATTTTTAAAGATTAAAATAAATCTCTGGCAAAAACTAATATTATACAAAATTCTGCCATCCATAAATGTAATAAAAAGGAGTGTTTGGGTTGTTACAGAAGAGTGTTGTTTCTCTTATTTTTCCCTAGGAAAAATGCGCAGAACGAAATAAGCAAATTCGTATTCGATATAAACCTTCTCTTTTCCAGCATGTGGGTATACAGTCATCATTCCCTGGAATAGAACAATACTCCAAAGTAAGATTTTGAAATGTATCTTGAGTAATATACAATGTCTCATTAACTTATAAAATATTGTTTAGAAAAGGAGTGATGAAAACATGAGAATAAAATATGGTCGTTCAAACATAATTATCTTATGACAACTATATGTTGTGAAGAGCAATCATTTTTTCAAGACCCAGTTTATCTGTCATGGTAAGAAAAATCCAGTGTATGTTCTTTGCCTTACTGTTACCAGCTGTGCGGTTCAAGTAATGACTACAAATGTGTTTTAAAAATCATAATAAAATTCACTCTTTTAGTCTAATATTTAAAGTTATAGAAGAATATTTCTAAATAAAATGCTCCTATTATTGAATTTGAATGTATCAACATTCTTATTTCAGATTACTGTTTACCATATCAACAAAAATTCAGTCTTGTTTGATTTTTAATCAGTCTTTAATGTTCCATCATTTTTTGGAAGCAATGTTATTTGTTATTGACTTAGCATCTTGGTAGAGTAGAAGCAAAGACTTCAGAGTCAAAACAACTAGTTTTTAGTTATGGTGACCTGTGTACGTGATATTGGGCAAGCCCTAACACTCCTCTGTGCTTTTTTCATCTGTACGAGAAGCTTAAATTAGTTGATCCTTAAGGTGTTTTCTGCCTTTGAAATCTCTCCTTTCTTAGTTTCTTCACACAACAAAGCAAATGATTGCTTTAATCCTTTGTCAATTGAAATGAGAGAAATGCACATACACATACCCCCATCACTTCGTTCATTTTTTTATGAACTGCCCTCTTTCCACCTTTTCTACTCTTATCTCTGTGTATTTATTGCACTGCACTCTTTGGAGCACTGTCTGAAACATAGTGTGAATTCAGTGAATGTTAGCTATTAGCAGTTAGGCAAAGTGAAATTCTAGATTAAAAGTGTTCATTAAACAAAGCAAACAAGTGCCGGAAATAATGAAAATTTAACTATTATAAATCTTCATGCAACAAATAACACCGTGAAATACATAAAACATAGCTGCAGGTGATGCAGAAAGAAATTGGGTCTATGCCATTCTATTTGTTGGTGCTATTATAATGGGACTCTTTTCTTCCATCATATTTTTTGCTGGATAAGCTATTTTAACCTTACCTTTGTAAATTCACAACAGAATAGAATATTTATCTAATCACTCATATTTTGATATTATAATCTAGCTTTTGTCCTTTTTTATGCCTCACCCCATGTAAAATAGAAATAAATAACAATTTAATGGTATGTCAAATGTGATTGTATATTTTTAAAATTTATATTGTTATAATTAATTATTTTAAAATTTTCTAACAGGATATTTATTATTAGGAGTTTCATAATTCAAATACCTTCTTTAAAAATGATCAGCATCATTCTTTGGAAAAAACGTCATAATAAGGATTAGTCTTAGTTCTCAACTTTCTTCATAGTGGATAAAAGGACTATATCATATAAAAAAATTTAAGCCTTTGATAATATAGTGGTAAGTATAAAATTGATATATAGAAAATTATCAGATATTTGTTAGCTTTATTTGTTTTGTGTATTTTAAAATCTTATACAGATAACTTTCTGATATACTCTCTAATATTTTGTTTTAGAAGAATGAATAGGTATTTTCTTTTCCTTTTTTATCATATACTGTAGACATACAACGAATTTGGAGACAATAGATCTGAGTTTGAAGCCTCATTTTTTTTTAAGATTTTATTTATGTATTTGAGAGAGAGAGCATGAGCAAAGGGAAGAGGAGGGGGAAGGGGAGAGGGAGAAGCAGGCTCCCTGCTGAGCAGGGAGTACAATGCAGGGTTCATCCCAGGACCCTGGGATCATGACCTGAGCCAAAGGCAGACACTTAACTGAATGAGCCACCCAGGTGCCCCTGAAGCCTCATTCTTATCAATGGATGCAACAAGATGGATGAATCTCTAAAATTACATTATGCTAAATGAAAAAAGCCAGATGCAAAAGACTATACTATATGATTCAATTTATATGGAATGCTAGAAAAGGCAGATCCTGATATCTCATTATGATTTTAATTTGTATTTCTTTAATGACCAATGATGTTGAGCATCTTTTCATGTGCTAATTGTGTGTGTATGTGTGTGTGTATACAGATATACACACACATTTTTATGAAATGTGGATTTTAATAAAATATATGTATATATTTTGTGAAATGTCTTGTTAAGTATTTGCCCATTTAAAAAATTGGGTTGTTCGCCTGTTTATTTTTGAATTGTTATAATTCCATATATAAGCTGACCACAAGGTTCAACTTATGGCTTGTTCTTTCATTTTCTTAATTTCATTTTCTTTTAATGAATGAAAGATTTTAACTTTGATAGAATTCACTCCACCCAAACCTCCACCCTGTCTGTATAGTTATGTCATTGGTTAGCTCAGTATTCAATGATTTTATAATGACAATATAAATGCTATTTACACTTAAACTATGTAATATGCTCTATTTGTCCTTTATCATACAACTTTTTTTGGAGTTTTAAATTGGCTTTATTTCAATGTACTTATCACTAATTCGCCCTTAGATTCCCTGTGAATTATCTAAATCTGTTCTTAGTATATTCAAACATTTTTAAAATCATGGTTGAATGTAGAATATTGTCAAATGCTTTTCTGCATTTCTACTGCTTCTTAATCTTGAAAAATATCTTTCCTGCAGCCTTCTGACCAGTTCTAGCTGATATTTTAGGAACCAGGGGGTTGATGTTCTTGTTTTCTATATCCCAAATATGCATCATACTTGGTCCACGTGTTTGTTAGTAAAGCACACCCCCCCCCCGTAATTTCTTGAGGAAGATTGTGTAGGAGGTGAATTCTTGGAGAACTGAAACATCTTAAAATTAATGCCGTCTGTCAAACTTAATTGTTAGGTTGGCTAGGCAAAGAATTCTGAATTCTGATTTTTGAAGGCATTCAAGAGTGTAACCAATGAAAAGTAGTTAAAGCCATTCTAATTCCCGTTTCTTGGTATACGAACAATTTTCCCATCTGTAAACCTTTAACATTTTTCTTGTATTTAGGGTTCTACAATTTCATGATGATGGTATGGGTCTATTTTTATTGATTGTGCTTGATATTTGGTAGGGCTTTTTAATCTGAAAACTCATATTTGGATTCTGGAAAATATTCACAAATTATTTTGTTGATAAATTTTCTCCTCTATTTTCTATATTCTTTTTAAGGAACCTTATTTCAAATGTTAGATTCCTTGGATTGATGTTCTCTCTCTCTCTCCTACTTTCCCCTTCCTGTTTTCTTTCTATTTGTTTCACTTTCTGAAAGTTTTTCTGAATTTCATCTTATATCCTTTTTATTAGTGCTTTTTTTGTTTTTTGGGGGGAGTTTTCATTGATTGGTTGGTTTTTGTTTTTGCTGTTATAGCTTTAATGTCTAAGAACTCCTTTTGTTCTCCTAATGCCATTGTCCCCTTTTATAACACTTGGTTCTTATTTTATGATTGAAATAGTTCCACTTATCCCTCTGAGGATTTTAATAGTTTTTTTTTTAAGATTTAAAAAAAAAATTCTTCCTCCTGCATTGTTTCTATTTCCTCCAGGTTGTTTTTTGTTGTTGTTGTTGTTCTCTGTTCTTCAAGTTGTTGAAGGGTTTCCTCATGTATGTAGTGGTCATAGATTGTATGTTCAAGTGGAGAAAGCTGGTTGGAGGCTCTGAGCACATGGCTGAACCCATCAGTTTCACTGACAGAGGAGTGGCTAGGCTCTTTCCCAGGAAATCACCTTAGTGCCTCCCAGTCTTGCTGCATGGGCTAATCAAATTGCTAGAGAATCTGGGAGCCAAGTGGGCAAAGATAGCTGGGGCTTTCAGTGTTCATTTTGTCAGTATTTACTTATTTGTTCTGTTTTCTCTCTTTTTTTAAGATTGATTGATTGATTGATTTATGGGACGGGGAGGGGCAGAGGGAGTGAGAGAATTTCAAGCAGACTCCCCGTCAAGTGTGGAGCCTGACAGGGGGCTAGATCTCACGACCCTGAGACCACGACCCTGAGATTATGACCTGAGCCAAAATCAAGAGTCGGACACTTAACGGATTGAGCCACCCAGGTGCCCCTGTTTGTCTTGTTTATCATTATTATCCTTACCCTGGTTTGAGTCTAGATACACACCTTATGTTTGCCTTTTCAGAGAATTATCCTTCAAGAGTGAGGAAAAGATAATCGCCTGTGGGGCGATTATGGCTCTGTGGGGTGGGAGAAGATATTTAGAGCTTTATTCACTGCTGAGACTTGCAAGCCATCTTTTGCCCCATCTTCACCTCTGTTTCTAGCAGTAGTGGGGATTTCTGCCCTGCAGATTGTGCTTCTCTGCTTCCCACTGGCAGCTTGCGACACAGCTCTCTCACACCTCCATTTGGTTACCATTGTATGCTTTCGCATTGTTTGTAAGATCATGTATCTTCAGCTGGCCCTTATGGTTAAGTGTGACTTCTAGAAAGAGTGAAAGTTAATACTTGTGTCCGATTCGCCATCTTTACGAGGCATCCTGCTAGTTCATTCTCGAACTTTAACTTTTTGGCTCATTTGTTTTTGAACTTCCAAAAAGAAAATCTTAATTTCCAGGACTTTCAGCTGATTCTTTTTATATGACAATATCCTTCCTATCATTCAGAGAAAATTAATTACACTTAAACAGTAGTATATTATGTAATGTGTAATTCATTATTTTTTTTTTAAGATTTTATTTCTTTGACAGAAAGATATATAGAGAGAGAGTACAAGTAGGCAGAGCGGTCAGCAGAGGGAGAAGCAGGCCCCCCGCCGAGCAGGGAGCCCGATGTGGGACTCGATCCCAGGACCCTGGGATCATGACCTGAGCTGAAGGCAGATGCCCAACCAACTGAGCCACCCAGCGCCCCTGTAATTCATTATTTTAACGCTTCCTATACTTAGTGTCTGTCGTTAATTCTGCATCCTTGCCATCCTCCTCTTCACTCTGCTTCTCAGGGGAGAATTGGGGGCGTACACCTCACAGAATGTCTTTCCCTCACAGAGTGCCGTGTTAGATTCTGTCTGTGAGAGGTACTCCTAGTAGACCTGGAAGATGGCGGCCAAGAGGGCAGCAGACGCCTGGACAGGAAGTTGAGTTCACACTTGCTGCCCCGCCAGCTGAGACCACGGGTGGCTTCTCCTGGCTTCCAGGGTTCTGAAAATGGCCCACTGTTCTGCTGAGGATTTCCAGGTTTCCAGAAGTGGCTTCTTAACCTTTGCTCCCCTAATCCTTCCAACAGTTGAGCTCACCTCTAGTTTACTCTAGCTTCATGAAGCTGATTTCTTTATTCAGAATACCCCAAGTGTCATCTGTTTCCTTGACTGGCCTCAGTTTCTCAGGATCTGCTGCTGCTTTTGCTTCACGCCCCCCCCCAAACTGAAATTTTATTTCTTACTCATTGGGACTCTCCATTGTTTTGTCTGTGAATGTTGAGTCTGTTTTCTGTAGCCTTCCTCCAGTATTTATGGGAGGAATGGGCAGTCTATGGCTCACTCTGTACAGAGGCTTTTCTTCTGAGTAGGGAAGACCCCATTCTTTTTGGGTATTGTTTTCTTCTCCACGAACACCCATACTCTATGCCCCTGCTCGACAAAGGTCATTTGATGTCTGCTGCTGGGCATAAGCATGCATATCCCAACTGTGACTCTGCAGCTAATTCCAGTGTCCCTACTTGTTGCCCTATATCCACCACCTCTGAGCTTGGGTCATCCTTAGAGCCGTGCCCACCTTTTTAGTAGCTGGCTCCTTTGTGTTTTGGAATTTGAATTCCTCCCCTTCTAGTCCAGTCTCATCTGCTTTCCATTTAACATTCCATCTGCATGGTGTATATGGATGGAAGTGTGTTCATGCAGAATTACCTTTTGACACTTCAACAGCAAAAGAGGCCTATAATATATTATTAAAAGTATGCATTATTTATACAAAGACCACTTCATGGAAATGTGGGTGCATTTCCATGAAGATAACCCTGCATTCTATGCATTTCGATTAGACCTGTGTCACATTAAAAGGTGTTTTTCTTTTTTTAATGGGACTGAGATCAGCAAAAGTTTGAAGAAGATACCTCAGCTGGCAAATTTCCCAGGAACCTGTATTTGTTATACTCTCAGTCACCTGTCTTTCTCTTTTAGTAGCTCCTTTCAGAATGTCTCCCTTCTTTCCTTCAAGAACAAGAAGACTACCACCACCTCATAGTTTCCCTCCCACGTTAGGAATTAGAAATGCCTTCAGCATCCTCCACTGCAACCACATTTCACTATCAAAAACAATTTCAGGGAAATAATGAGCTGTCCATTTGCTAAGGCTTTTACATATTTAAAATTAGATGTTTCCAAACTGAGGAAAGAGTTGCAGAATGGATTACCCCTTTCACTTCCCAAAGGCTGTATTTCAAAATGGAATAAAATTTAATTGTATAAAATTTTTAGCTTTGTTTATATTTTTCAAGCAATATGCACATATCTGGCTAAAAATTAATAAAAAGAGGAGCTTATAATAAAAGGCAACAACCCCCTGCACTTCCCCAGCCCTATCTCACTCACCAGAGGCAATGACATTTCATCATTTCTGGTTTAAATGCCTCTGGTAGTTTTCTTTATATTGCTAAATAATATGCTTATGCTACTCATTTTTATTTATCCACATTATTTTTCCTGCAGTACAGATGAGTATTTAGCTCAGATACTTATTCATTTTTGTTATGTCTTAGTTTCGGCTGCTAAGACAAAAATACCACAGACTGGGTGGCTTAGACAACAGAAATTTATTTCTCACAGTTTCAGAGGTTGGAAAGTCCAAGATCAGGGTTCCCACATGGGGGCTTTTGGTGAGAGCCCACTTACTGGTTTGTAGACAGTGTCTTCTAACTATATCCTCACATGGCCAAGAGTAGAGAAAGCTCTAGTCTCTTTATCCCCTTATAAAGGCACTAAACTCATTCATGAACCCTCTGGACCTAATTATCTCCCCAAATCCCCATTTCCAAATACACTGAAGACTTAGGCTTCAGCATATGAATTTGAGGAAGGGGACACAAATACTCAGTTGATGGCATATTACGACTTTAATTATTTTGCCCCTTTCTTTTCTAAGTTCTCTTTTCTGAAAGAATAATCAAATATTAAACTTACTGAATTGATCTCCTATATGTCATAGCTTTCATTTACTTTTTTTTTTTAAAGATTTTATTTATTTGAGAGAGAGAGCACATGAGAGAGAGCTAGAGAGAGCATGAGCAAAGGAAGGAGCAGAGGGAGAAGCAGACTCCCCGTGGAGCAGGGAGCCAGACGTGGGCCTCTGGGCTGAGGCTCGATCCCAGGATGCTGGGATCATGACCTGAGCCAAAGGCAGACGCTTAACCGACTGAGCCACCCAGGTGCCCCTCAAATTTTAATTTTATTAAGTAAAATAAAATTTAAATTCATGATTTCAGCGAGATAAATGTCACTCTCTTTTCTTTAACCAGGTCCAACATAGCAACACTTGTGTTGCTACGCTTTCCTTAATATTCATTTCTTTAAGTCTTTAAAAAAATTTTATGTAAAATTTGTTCTTTAATCAGTTAAATTATATATTACACTCCTCATAAAACTTTTTATTTTTTTATTTTTTTAAATTCTTTTTGAAGATTTTACTTATTCATTTGAGACCCAGAGACACACAGCGAGAGAGCATGAGCAGAGGGAGAGGGAGAAGCAGGCTCCCTGCCGAGCCAGGAGCCCAATGTGGGGCTCATCCCAGGGCCCCAGGATCATGACCCAAGCTGAAGGCAGACACCCAAACATCTGAGCCATCCAGGCACCCCTCATAAAACTTTTTAAAATGCAAGATAAATTTTCTATAGCTCATTAAGGAGAAAAAATAGTTTGGTTTATTTCTATTCATCTAACTTGTAGTTAAAAATAATAATTAATAAACAAAAAACTTGTCTTAGTGATAAATTTTCTAGGTTTTAAGTTTAAAAATTTTGCCTGTGTCATCAGGTTAAATGTTCTTTATCATTTCATGCCCTAAATCTGTAATAAAAATAAAAGAAATTTCTTTTAGAAACAACTAAAATATTTCTGTATGAATAATTTCTGAAAACTCAAAGTAATTAAAGTTTTGGGGCACCTGGGTGGCACAGTTAAGCGTCTGACTCTTGGTTTTGGCTCAGGTCGTCATCTCAGGGTTGTGGGATCGAGGCCCCCCCCCCCCCCCCGTCGGGCTCCACACTCAGCGCCGAGTCTGTTTGGGATTCCCTCTCTCCTCTTCCTCTATCCTCCTTCCCCCCACCGTGCTCTCTCTCTCAAATAAATAAATCTTTAAAAAAAGATAAAGATTTTCTGTTGATAAGCAAGCGAATAGTGTGTTTCTATAATTTGCTAGTGCTTCATCCTACATGAAAAGTTATTTTTGTTTTACTGCAGCATACTGGGGTGTTTCGAGGTGTTGGAAGTAGGGTTACCAGATAAAATACGGGATATCCCACTTAACCTCGAATTTAGTTAAAAAATAACTTTTTTTTTTTGGTATGTATGTATGAGCCATTTGTTTTATTGCTGTTGCTAAATCTGGAGATGCCTAATTGGAGGTGATGGAAGGAAAGAAGTAGATGGATATTTCCCATCAAAATGCTTTAACTGGATTATTTGAGTTTATGCTTTTGACTTTTATTAAAGAATGATATATGGCATATTTGCATTTTCTTCAAAACCGTTATTTCAAGTTTTATGTTTCTTTTCTATGTAAAGATACACGTGACAACTTTCTCTTAGAATTTGGAGCTAGAAAAAAGATATTCTTTCCCAAAGAATTGTCATGATCCCTTTTGCCCATTATGGATATTTTTGTTCCCTTTGACTAGCAAGAAATTCAAAACTAATTTCATATGAAATGTAGTACTCATAGTATATTCACAGCAAAATTTCTCCAATTCTAATTTTATATTACTCTCTGATTTTCTTTCATATATTAGTGTTAAAAGATTATTTTGTCTTTACTTTGTTATCCTAAATCTTTTCAATATTTATATTTTAAATTATAAAAATAAAGTGAATGTTTAAAAATATCTGTACTTTATCTATAACAGTTTGTTGGCTTAAATGATTATCCAACAATATAGACTTCCCAGGTGTCCCAGGGATGGAAATCTACTTTCAATAATTTTAACACCAGGACAGTATTAAAACTGATATTGTCGAATACATCTTAAGAATCGTGTCTTTCACCAATGTAAAATTATCTTCTCTATTTATAAGGGGAAAGCATGGTCAAAGGAAAGAATAAGGAAAGAACGTTATCAAAAATTTTCACGAAAATAATTATATCCTTGTGAATTAATGTTATTTCTAGATGTTACAGGTTTCTTGTTTTTATTTCAGAAAATAAGATAAGCATAACAAGAAAAAACTCTGTAATACCTTGGAACCTCATCTTTCAGAAATGATAATAATGAAAATGCAAAATTGTATAGAAGAGGAGAAAACAATAAACAAACTACTAGGCTTGAAAGTATTAACTACCTCTTATGTCAAGAAAAATTAGAATATTTGTTTATGATGTTTGTACCATTACTATTACAATTTAGTTTAAAAATAGTAAAGGCAGGTAAGTTTTTGAAATTAAGAAATGCATTTTGTTGACTTAGATAGTGATGCTATCACATAATCTCAATAAATAGCTACAAGTTTAGAAGCTTGTCATTGTCACAGACAGGTTCTGTGTAAATTGGCAAATGTTCTTACCCATTTTGTAGGACATCTAAAGTAATAGAAAGCACAATATAAGCAAGCCTCGGTCTGGCAGTGCCACAGTAGCTTCTTCTCTTTTAAATAAATTCATTTAAAACTATAAACTTACGCCTAAGTGCCATTTGAGTTGATTACCAACCTCTTGATATTTATGTATTCTGGTAGTCATTCAGTTCTAAAGATTTATAATTTCTCTTATTACCTTTTTAGCTCCTGGGTATTTGGGAGTGTTTTCCTTTTTTTCAAATATATTGGTTTTTTGCCACCTTTTACTGTTGATTTCTTATTTAAGTACGTTGATGTTAATGAATTTTATCTGTGTGAATTTGAGAATTGTTATGAATTCTAGTGTTTCGTGTGAATTTGAAAAGAATCTATAGTCTCTGTACACTCCCTTTAAAATATGTTGCTTTCATTTGTTTTTTATAAATGTTAGTTTTGTGCTTTAAAAATGTCTTCTTAAAATAAATTCCATTTATTGGGTGCAGTATTCTCTTACATCAGGCTTTTTAATTTACTTATTCAAGTTTTTTAAATTCTTACAGATTTGCCTGCTTGAATGATCTATCAGTTTCTTAGAGAAACTGATTAAACTCCCCTAGAGAAACTATTAAACTCCCCTATCCTTCTTATTATTCTGTTGAGTTTTACTTTATTTATTTTGGGAAATAATAAGAGATGTTTCTTCTTCCTTCTGATTTTGCAATAAACTATGGAAATCATACTTTATACTCCTAGCTGTATTATCTATCCTTGAGGACCAAAACGACATATTTACCTCAGTCTGAACTGCATCACATACCAACATATAAGGAGAATATGAAAGCTGAACTGTTCACGTGTCTGTTTCATTCTCCCCTTTTAGAAAAGAAGAAGCAATATGTCAAGTATATTTCAGTAAAGCCAGGCGGAAGGGAGAGATAAGAAAAGACATTACATGTCTGTTACAAAAATTTGTTTATTATTTTTTTAAGATTTTATTTATTTATTTGACACACAGAGAGAGCACAAGCAGTGGGAGCAGCAGAGGGAGAGGCAGAAGCAGGTTCCCTGCTGAGTGGAGAACCTGATGCAGGACTCCATCCCAGGACCCTGGGATCATGACTTGAGGCAAAGGCAGATGCTTAACCGACTGAGTCACCCAGGAGCCCCTACAAAAATTTTTAGTTTGACTTAAATTTTGAACTGAAGTACTCTGAGAGTGGCAGATGCTAGAAGGAAAAAAAAAGAAAGAAAGAAATTGAAGAACAGCCTTAAAGATTCAACCCCAATAACTGCTGTCCTTAATGAAACGATTCCAGGACAGAGATTTTGATAGCACAAAGCATTTCCAGAAAATGTTCATAGTACAGGCAGGACACCCGCCCCCAGTTTCCATCCCCATCCCAACTGCCCAAATGCTGGATGTTTGGACCGTTTCACTCACCACCCGTGGTCTCTGGTCTGAGGTGTATGAGAAAGGGGCAATTTGGAGAACCCCTGACACCCATCTGGGATAGAGCAGAGCAAATAGTGCTTATTGCTTGGTTTGGGAATTTGTTTTATTGCGTTCATACTGATTTTGCTGTTTAAAATCACTTTTCTTCAAGCATTCAGATGAAAGCATATGATATATTTATGTCACTGACTCAGTATAGCAGATGAGTTTGTAGAAACCACATTCAGACAAGATCCTACCGAAATCTTTTTTACCCCCTCAAACACTACTTTTGTAGTAAATAGAAGCTCTGCAAACTTTGGAGAAATGGTAAGTGAGATTCTTTCAAGTATTGAGATAAGCTACCAACAAGCTACCATAATATGGTAATATTACTAGTATTGTAGTAATAGCAAATGTGACTATACTCTTGGGTAAATGGGAGTTAACCCTCTACCAGCATAGGTGTGTAACAATAACTTGGGTTTTGTTGTATACTCTTAAATAGACCTTCCAGTCTGTGGCAGAGTTGCAGCAATTATGAACAAATAATGGGAGCTAAATCTGGGCAAGCATTTTCCCATGAAAACTATCTTACTATGTTTTTCCCCTTAATTACCTTTTTTCCTCCTAATTACATTTTTAGATGCTATGTTATTAATAGCCAGTCATAGGCAATGAATTATGAGGAAGTTTATATGAGCTGGTAAGTGTTTGTTTTGCCAATATTAGTTTTCTTTCTAAAAGCCCAGATAAAAATGAAGATTTCTTAGGAGGATTCAGGTTACTGAAATTGATGTGAATAGAAACAGAAAGCATAAACCAATGAATTTTCATTGAAGAAATAGAGAAAGTTACTGAGAAATAACAAGCACAAAGAGACATTGATCTTGTGCAATCATCTCTAGATGATTGCACAAGGGAACTTAACTAAACTTTGAGAAAACAGTCCCAGTGTTTTAAAGTTGTTTCAGAGTATAGCAAATAATGGAAAATTAGTAAATTTTCATAAATTTTTAGTGATGTAAGTATAGTGATGTAAGTATAACATGAATACCTGGTCCTAATAATGATAGCACAAAAAAGAAAACCACAGACCTATATCATCTATGATGATTGATGCAGAAATCTTAAATGCAATATTAGAAATAAATTCCTAAGCTACATGAAGAAAACAACACACCATGACCTGGCTTTTTGATACCAGGAGTGCAAGGATCTGGGTAGGATTCTTACTAATAGGTCTAAGGAGAAAAATATGATTACCTCCACAGAAAAATGCAACACCTATTTTCTATAAGAATATTAAAATTACAACGAATGGATACCTTAACATGATAAAATTAAGGGCCAGATAAACATATATGAAAAAGATATGTACGAAAAATTATTTGTCTATATGAAATTAGAATCTCATTGAGTGTCCTGTATTTTAATTTGTTAAATCTGACAGTCATAGATACCTCAATTATAAAAATGGTTCCTTATTTAATGGGGAAACACTGGAGGCATTTCTACTAGCATCAGAAACAGAGCAAACGAGCCCCACTGTCTCCAGGACTGTTACATTGTTCTGGCAAGGTTAGCCAATGAAATTTGATAAGAAAAAACAATTATAGGCATAAGAATTGGAAAATAAAAAATAAAGTTCTATTTGAAGATAGCATGATACTTATGTGGAAAAACTCAGGGGACTTCATCACAAAACTAATTTAAATAAAATAATTCAGCAAGATCTCAGGATATAGGCTTAGCATTCAAAAATGAGTAACTTCTTAAAAGTGATAATAAACCCTTAGAATATATGATGAGCGAGAAAACCTCTTTTATAACAGCAGTGAAAAAGATATTTAGGAATAAACCTAAGAAGAAATATACAAAACCAGGAAACTCTTGGAAGTGATGGAAGTAGTCTGTATTTTGATTGTGGAAGTGGTTTCAGAGGTATATACACCTGTCAAAACTCATCAAATTGTAAACTTTAAAGGAATGATATTTTGTGTATGTAAATTTCAATGAAGTTGATCTAAAATGTGCAAAACCTATACAAAGAAAGCTATAAACACTCTTAAAGATGCAAGAGACTCAAGCAAATAGACTTTTCTTGGATAAGACATCTGATCAAAATGTTAGTTCTTCTTAAGTTAAGTTAGAATTTTATTGTGATCCCAATAAATACGCCAACAATCTTTTTTTCCTGGAGGCTGACATACTGATATTAAGGTTCATATGGAAAAAAACCATTCAAGAATATCTAGAAGAGCACTGAAAAGAGCCGGGAGGGGATTTAGAACAACCAGACCCTAAAACATTTTTCAAAGCCTCTATAATTAAAACACTGTGGCAATTTGTACCAGCACTTGAGTAGACAAATCAATGAAATAGAATAGAAAGTCCAGAAATAGACTCAAGTACATATAGATATTTGGTAAATGATAAAAGCAGTATCTTAAGTCTCTGGGCAAAGAGATACTCTGATAAATGGTATCAGGACAACTGGATAGCCATTTGGAGCCATAAGATTCACATGCTACACAAAAATAAACCTCAAATGAATCAGCAATAAATAAAATTACACAAGTATTACAAGAAAATATAGGTGAATCGTTCTACAACCTGGGGATAGGGAAAGGTATTCTATGACTCAAAATCTGGATGCAATAAAAAGAAAACTTTGCCCTTATATATAAAAATTTATTCAGCCTCAGAAGTAAAAATTAAAATTACACTGAGATCTCAAAAACTGCCCCACCAGGTTGACAAAAATTCAAAAGCTTGACAGTGCATTCTGTTGGGTGAGGTTAGGTGGAAAAAAACATTCTCATACACTGTTAATGGGGATAAAAAATGATATAACTCCTAAGGAGGGGATTTGGTAATACATAAGAACACTACATAGCATTTTAAAGCACAGTGAGGGGCATCTGGGTGGCTTGGTGGGTTGAGCGACAAACTCTTGATTTCTGTTCAGGTCATGGTGTCAGGGTCTTGAGATCCAGCCCCATGTCGGCTGGGCACTCAGCAGGGAGTCTGCTTGAGATTCTCTCTCTCTCCCCCTTCCCTCTGCCCCTTCCCCTGCTGGCACTCCCTCTCACTCTGTCTCCCAAATAGATAAAAGAAATATATATATAAAACCACAACGAGACATCACTGATTGACCTCTGGAAGGGTTAAGACTGACCATACCAAGCAATGGTGAAAACGTAGCATAACTGGAACTCTTATACTATATCGCTGGTAGGAACGTTCAACAGCTCAGCATTTTCTTAAACAGTTAAACATATGCCTACCATACGTCCCAGCTATTCAAAATCAGTCAAGATTTACTATAAAATATTAAAGGAAGCTGCATGGTAAACCTCAATGGGGCAAAGAAGCTTCTGATTCAATCCTACCTTTGTGCTGTATTTTTATTTTTGGTGTGTTGATTAAAAGTACAGGCTCTGAGAGAGAGAGACCTGGATTTGAGCCCTGTTTGTTAATCAAAGATTCGGGCAAGTAATTATCTTTAGTTCTTTCACCTGGGTTGTTGTGACGGTTAATGAAATGAATGTAAAGCCCCTGGAGTACAGTGAGCGCAATAAATGTTACCAATTCTTATTAATAGTATTTCGGAAAGAAAA